CTGGCAAAAAAAAAAAAAAAAAATAAATAAAAAAATAAAAAAAAAAATAGCAGCTCCTTAGAAATGTCATCCCAGCTCATTCTCAGTGCCCTCAAGACCTTCAATTTTTTAATATATATAAATTTAGTTTTTACTCAGGTGATGTTATAGCTGCCACTGAACTAGCAGAACACCAAGCGCGGGGTTAAACCACGCTGTTATCCACTGTCTGGCACATCAAAAGATGTGGCTAATGGGAAAAACCAAAAACTGAAATGATGCTTGCAGGGCTTGCTGTGAGCTGCAGTCAGGTTGGGCCCAGGGCTTACCAGTCTTCACTCAGCACTGGCCCTGCTAAATCCCAGCTGGCCCCAAAAAGAGCATCCAAGCCCCCCTCCCCGTGGAGGGACACGGCCTCAGACCAGAGCCGGCTGCAGAAATCCTCTGCGCGGAGCAGCTGGTGTTCTCCATCTGCCGACAGCTCGGCTATACCTTCGGTAAGTCACCGGGGATGAATTCTAAAAGACAGCCTATTAAGGTAATTAACTTAACCCAAATGATTCTTAATTATGGATCTCTCGTTATCTACATCCCAGCCACAGGTTAAGAATCCAAGGAAGAAATGTGCTGGCTCAAAATTAAGTACTTCTCAACCATATCATAAAGGATTTTCTATGCAGTAAAACCTGCACAGAGCACTCAGATTATCTGGGGCAGGCACAAGACTTCCCCTATAAACCCATTTTTGGTAGGAAAGGAGTGTGGCACGCAAACAAGAGGAGGAAATTATTTCAGTGACCCAGAGAAGGATTTTTTTTTTTTTTCCTTACACTTACAGGAAGTCAGCCAACACGAAAATGCAGGGCAGCAACAGCCCTTCCATATCTGAGAACTAGAAAAATCCATGCCTTCAAAGGGAGGAAGGAGGAAGCTCTCTTGGATGAACGCCATCGCCATCTGCCACTGAGATTTCTCTTAAAACACCGATTTTTCCCAGCATCTACAGTGCAGTCGAGAGGCATCCAAAGAGAGGGGAGAGACCCTTGTAACCCTCTACAGCATTTTTTCCAAGAGAGCTGCTGCAGAAGACGGCAGATCTAGAGCAGCGTGAGAATTGGTGGCATCCAGGAGCCTTCAGGGGCTGATTTTTCTCAGTCAGAAGGTTCTGCTGAAATAACCAGCGCAAGAAGACGCCAGCTTTAAAGGCCAAGGCAGAAAACACAAAGGCTCCCTCCCTTCACTGCCTCCCCGCTGCTACCTGGAGCCCTCAAAGCTGGGAAAGAGCCTCACGCGTCTCGCCTTTCCGAGTGCTTCCCAGCCAGGGAACGATGGGGAGGATGAGAAATCCGTAGGCAGAGGATGGGAGGAGCATCGTGGCACGAGCCTCTGGACTCTCCTCCTGCCCAGCACCTTCCGGGAAGCGTTTATAGTCTCTCCCTGCATATTTGGACATTTGCAAGAAAGGAAAGGTGGGAAATCCTCTTCTCAAAGCCAGAACTGACCCCTACCCAAAACCTTCTACAGCCTTTTTCTTAACGAAACTCTCTACGTTACGTTGTTAAGCACAACGGCAGCCGCTAACCCCGCTCCCAAACCCTACGTTAAGACACAGAAATAAATCCAACATCATCCCACGTGAAAAGCAGCAAGCGGGCGAAGACGGCGTTGTAAGGAACCGGCAAGACGGTGGCAGCACTCAGCAGATCAGGCACACAACCACCAGCCTTATTCTCACTTGCTTCCCTAGCGCAACACCCTGCAACGGCAGTTCCAAAGCATCCTGCAAGCAAATTTTTCTCCAAGAAAAAAAAAATCCTTCATCTTTCGGCCTGACAAAGCATTGCTTTCCCTTAGCACGGGCACTCTTAAAACCACACAATTTACGTACAGCTCTTTGCCTTAAAAATAAACTTTTCTTCTGCTGGGCAGATTTACGGATACGCAACAACAAACAAAAGACCAGCCTGCAAACAGAGCTGAGGGCTTACAGCTAGCACTGAAGAGCCTCACGCACAGGAAAGCTCAGGATGCTGTGTGTTGCCACAGCAAGAGCTGCCACCCTCCCTTCATCTTCAAATCCCTTTTACAGTTAGACTGTAAGCTCTTTGGGGCAAGAAAAATACAATGCCTTTATTTGTTGTGTAAATTATTTTATAAAACTGGACACTATAGAAATAAAAAAAAAAAAAACCCTCAACAGACTTATTTCGAAAGCTGCAGAAGTGTCAAGATGAAAGAGGCGATATAATTAAAGATCTCCGTGGTGGATTTTCTTCATATGACAAGCAGCTCAAGTCGTATTTCAGACTGATCCTGAAGTTATGAGCCAATTACACCAGAAGCTAAAAAGATTAGCCCGTGGAGGAACAACGAAGACTGACGACTTAGTTGAGCGTATGACAGCATCTCCATGCTTACTCTAAAATATTCAACATTATAATTTAGTAGCGTTATACCACGATGGAAATTTTCCAGCTGGGAAATAAATATTCATCAGCGTTTAATATAAAGCGACACTAAGTGTACATATCCTCCCGTCTCTAAAAATAGGCTCTGCTAGGAATTCACATTTCATCCACAATTCCGAAACGTAAAAAGGTATTTAAAAATCAAAGCTTCAATTCTGTACTGCAAAGGAGCTGCCAACCCAGTATTTTATTCGTACCTCTCCTTGCACACTGTCTATACTGCGAATTTAAAGCAATACGCACGCTATGGCTCTGCGTGATTCTGACAGAAGATACTAAACTTTTTAAACCAAAGTTATCAGTTGAAAGGGCTACAGAATGGATGAGGACATGCCTTTTGGTTTTTTTTTTAAACCACACATGCATACATTTTTAGAAATTATTTCCAGCATGCTCTTCTTGACGCTTTAGGTATAGGCTTTCTTTTGGACTTCATGAATACCCTACCGTACAAACACACTTTATGCAACTTACTTCCCCTCCCCTTCTGCCAAACAGCAAAATATTATGGATGATGCCTGGCAAAAGCATCAAAATAAGTGATTTATTTTTTTTTTTTTAATCGCCCCAGAGAACTATCAAACAGGCTACAGAAAGGAGAAGCGTACTCTGTTACCCAGGGAAATAACCTAAACTCATCTCTGCCAAGGAAACCAGGTTTTCAGGATGGAGCAGAAGAGCAGTGCAGCAGCACAGGGGAGCCAGGAGAGACTGTGGGAAGGGTAACGGGGGAAGCCCATGAACTGAATCACTGCCCTATTCCGCTTATCATAAGGAAGATTCATTACAGCAAAATATTCCCCTGCTCGTTATCATCTGGGCATCATCAGGTTCATGCCTGGCACTTAAACCTACCCACAGCAAGTCGTTCGGTATCCCATAGTTACGTTAAAGTAAACATAAATGTGAATATCCTCTTTACTCATCTGGGCTATTTCCAGTCCAGTTTTTAAGTCTAGATTTCAATAATGGTACCAATAATTCATTACCAGAAAGGAATTCCTCTGTACTGCCTCTGGAGCTGATAAAGCTTTTCCTACATTATTTCTATACTATATTTCTCTATTATCACTTCTGCCTGTACTAATAATCCCATCAAGCTTCCCTTCACACCCCGTCAACATAACACTCCAAAGCAGCTCGGAACTTCAACACATTTCTACTTCATAACATTTTCATGGATACTTCTCACTCCCTTCCAAGAGCGACAGTGTCCTTGACTTCTCCTCCTTTTACCTGTGGCACACTGAAAATCACGGCGTCCGCGATAAAGCTCTTCAGTTCCTACAAAGCACACCAAGAAACATTTAACAGCCCGAGAGGGACGAAGGCATGCAGCTCGGACATCGGTTGTCCTGTTGCAGGTCAGGTTATTTCAGATATATCCAACCTAATTCCCCTCGGTCTCAGACCTTCCCTGATCTCTGCAGTGAAACAGTCCTCCCTGCACGTTACCGGTACAGCCAGATGACAACGGAGGAAGAAAGATCACGAGCTTGAACGGCAGCCTGCTGAAATCCTTTCGTTCCTGGGGAAGCAGGGCTCATCTGCCAGGGCATCTGCCAGCAAGACAAGCCTCAAGGTCACCCAGCTTATTTGCCACACACCAGCAGCAGACCGGTGGGAGCTAAAGCAGGACGTTTCTGATCCGACGCCCGTTAAGCGGTTCGCTTTCATTTAGGCTTGCTTGAATCTTCCTTGAGGTGGGATCGAGCATTTTGACTTCAAAATGCAATTTACTCTGACATCAGCCTCGTCCCTATTAAGGGATGTACTTGCTCCAGCATGTTTCTCTTCCAATTATCACAAAAATCATTTAGGAAGGACCGGCTACGCTGTAATCCCAAATCGCGTTACAGTGACCTTCCAGACTGGATCCAAAGCCTGCCTTGGAAGCTGCCAGAACACCCATTTTCCTAAAGGTATCCCACGCCAGTCTCTGCATTAAATTTTACCGCAACAAACCAGATCCTCAGCGGCCAACCGTAACCTATATTTCCCACAGAAGACACAGAAACTGCCCCCAAGCAAGGCAGAAGAGTATAAGCACCTAATGCACAGCTCCACCTAAGGCCACCCTAATCTTCATA